TTGCAGTTTTATTGCTCGTTTTAAATTAACATAGGAAACAAAAACCTGCTAATAACTACTCAACGGAGTTGAAATTCTAAAATCTTAATTTTTCCCTCGTCTTCTAAATAACAAGACGCAACAAAGACAATTGAATTATGTCGACTGGAACGGTTGCAAAAGGCGAATGAATAGCAGCTTTTGTTTACTGTAGCGGCAGCTCAAACACAACTAAATAAAACGTGTGTCCTCATCTCATAGAACCAACACAAATACTTTCTGCCCGACACTTTTCGTAACGAAGCGCCGAACTTCTAGATATCGGGTGCTCATCTACAGAGTGATCACTAAAACTAGTAACTTTAAGGTGCTTCGTTACAAGAGCAAATTAGACGGAACCACCCAAATCCTTAAAAACTAATTATCTTAACAAGTTGTCCTTTGCAAACTACGTCCTAAATTCCGGTATTTCATCATTTTCCCTTAACTAAATTTTAAATCTTTAAAAGAACTCCCTTTTCCTGAATTAAGCACTTTAATTTAGGAACTTGCAATCCCCCGTTTTTTATTAAATTGTAAATAAATTTAATTCTGTCGCGAGATTATACCATCAAATTTTATTAACACTTAATTATTCTAAAAAAACAATAGTCCTTGTAATCTCATTACATTTTTTTTTAGTTTCTCGCCTTTTTTGATAACCGATTCCGTAAGCTCAACAATTAAAGATGATTATTGAAAAAATATATCAGTTATGCATTTCGTATGTGTACCTTAAAAATTAAAGAAAGTGTGCTATATTTGCGTTTTTTCCGTCTATTTTGAACTAAAACCAGATAAAAAGAGAAATACCTTTTTACAGGTATGGTTCTGGTGACGCTTACAAAAGCAAGCGAAAGTTTGAATAATATAAAAATCAAATGGGGTTCTTTCTTAATTATTAATTGGACGCTTACAGCATATCAATTCAAATTGGTTGAGATATGATTATAATAATTATTGAATTAATTATAACCCTAGACTATATTGATTGCAACGTAGTGTTTTTGTTAGCAGTTAATTTTTTCCGGTTCGCGTTACGAGTAAAAGTTAATTACTCGCACTTTGGTTTAAAACTGAATCTTTTCCTTACCCAAGTAAGAGAAATAAGAGAACGAAATACATTTCCAAAAATAAGCTTTATAATTAGGTTACCTAATCAAGTTAAGACTGAAAAACAAGTTTGTAAGCGAAAAGTAATCCAACCCTTATCACAACGTGCATCTTATATTTAGATGCGTAGTACTCTGAACAATTTGAGCAGTACACTTCAGCTTATTTTTTAGAAGAAGCTCTCACATTTCCAAACACGTCAACTGTGACAGTAAGCAGTTATGTAACGTATAATAAGTAATTTCCACGGAAATTAACAGGGAACTGATTTATAGACCAATCTTAGCAGGAAAAACACTGCTAAATAATACTCCAAACCATTTTATAAGTAACCCCTAATAATATTACTAACGATAATTTGTTTTGTTAAGTATGAAATTAAGGTACAACCCAAGAACATCAACATTTTAATCAAAAGTGTCTTAATTTGAACTGACAAAATTTGTTACCGATCATTTTTAGTTTTAGATTTGGGATGTGTATTAAAACAGTGCTAAATTTGCATAATTCGCGAAAACAGGCAGTAAATGTAATTTCGTCGAGCTGTATTGTTTTCTTTTGACAGCTACCTTCTCTCTTTGTCGATTTTGGTAAAACACAATCATATCTAATACAGTTAGTAATAAATAAAGGGCATTGTGTATCCTTTAATACAGGCAAGATTCATGACAAACTGTAAGCGCGAATTTAAACTCAAATTGAAAACCCATTAATTTCGCCTAACTAGGTAGGAAGTAATCTCAACGATGCTCTATCTACTATTAGGTGTTTCGTTCATTCGCAGAGACATCTATGTCAATACAACTCGGAGCTTTTATTAACAAATTAAACGCGATGCAAATCCTGCCTTAAAGTACGTCCAATATGGGATTTGTAACATGTCCCAGTTTGGAGAAGTGAAATAACATTACAGCCTTAATTTGAATTTGAATTTATTCACCCAAATTAAACATTTTACAGCGATACGAAAACAAAGTTAGATAAATAAATGCTATTTTATTCAGATTAGTGTTTTATAATTGAACGCAGACGTGAATCGAAAAGTTTGGTACTGCGTGTAAAAGGGAAAAAAATTCAGAATTTCAATCTTTCTAACAGTTTTACATAATTCTAACGAACGATATTGATTTTAGATGGCGATGGGGACTTGGTAGACGATTTGAACGAGTTGGGGGTCTCATTTCCACCATTCGAGGAAATCCCACCGGTTCACTTTGCCACAGAAAATAGCACCGTTGTGACTTCGCAGACTGGATCTACGGCGTTGGTGCCATGTGTCGTTAATAATATCGGAGATGGAATGGTAAGGATATATTATAAAATATGATTTCCCTTTAAAAGTTTTTGGGCAACCATTTCGTGTGGTTCACAAGACACCTGCTAATTAAAAAAATAGAAAAGGGAAGTTTGGAACATGAAAAACACAAAAATATAGGATTTTATTTACAGTTAGCATTGGAAAGAGGATATCTCTACTACTCCTTCAGAAAACAATATAAAAAAGAAATCTGCGTGTGAAGTATCATACAGCACGGATTATGAACTTAATTTTTTTTAACGTATCTTCATTGTAGTGTTCAAGCATAGCTGCGTGTTTGTCACGGGAAAAATCGTTGGAAACTATAAACTTAGAATTAATTATTAATCTCAATCTGCTAAGGAAATTCATAATGTTCACTAACCTTAATGACTTTACAGGACACTCTGTAAATTAGCCTTGCTAAAAATGACACTTAAATTTAAATTTGTTTGATTAATTCACGTTTTACAAGTAGAATAAGTAATTCACACCTATTCAATGCATTTCCTGGTACAGAGCTACTATGTCACTCACAGTCCTGATATTGTACAACGTATCGTAACGCACGGCTGTTTAACTTACAACTGCCAGAGAACCGTTTATCTAACGATAATAAAGTTGAGATGGTGTTGGTGAAACAATTTACGCTCTTATAAGGATGATTTCCGGCACAATCTCCTGCCTTAATGGAATTAGATTTGTGGAAGAATAAACCTTAATCGGAAGTAAATAACATTTATGTAGGTTGCCACTTTTGTTGGCGACAGGGCGTTACGTTAGTATTGCACCATTTCCTTGCCTATAATATGTCAACAAAGGGAAGTATTAGAATAAAGCCTTCCTTCCTATTTACAAATGACTACATTTTTTTCTTTTGAAAGTGCTGATATACCTAAACTATTTTGAATGTAATGCGTTTGCGAAAAAACTTAATAAATTTGCTATCGTGATTCCAGATGCTTACAACAGCTAAACGTTGCGGTAGTGAAGAGTCTCAGGTTGTTACCGCTTTCACTCACCGCTAAAGTTTCTTGAGGTGATGAGAAAATCGTGACGTTGCACGGTAGGAATTAATATCGTCGCGGAACTTCCAAGAGCAAAGTCATTTGCGTGAAGGTTACCTGGTGTTCATTTACCTTACGCTCGGTTTTAGTACCGTTCGTCGACGTTAATTAAATGGGGAAATGTTTAAACGATTGACTTACACCTTTAATTTCACAGTGACACAGATTATTTTGTTTCCTGATATTTAATTGCGTCGAATTTCCAACCTGCGTATAGTTACTATTGATCGTCGATAAGCCTTGTAATTCTGCTGTCAGTCCGAATTCATTATTCCGCCAGGGCGACGTTTTGTTTCTTTTAAAAAAGCAAACGATTATTACCTTTTCTGGTATAAAATTGCTGGAGAAATCTTCGATCAGGTAGTTTCGAGGTTGTGTATGTAAGAAAATAATTGAGAAAAAGCAATAGGCGTTTTAATGATTTTGTTATGACTAAGTTCAAAAAACGAATTGCTAACGAATTTACCACTGGTTGATTGAGGTTTTGCATCTATCTTTGGTCGGAATTCAGTAAAACTTTTCATCGTTATACTTAGAGACCATCAGTGCACGAGATCTTTAACGCGTCAGCACTCCACGAACAACGTTTGTGTAACTTTTCCAGTTGAAGTCATACTTAAAAGGAATCTCGTTCATATTTATTGCTGTTGGATAATGGCACCTGCGTTTGTTACATTTTATTCATTTCAGCTTAAAAAATAGGTAATTGTTTCAGGAGTTGCTGATATGATTAATCCGTACGGATCGTCGATTGTCAAAATGTTAAAGTATTGATCTAAAAATGTTTTGCGGTTTTTTATTTAATTGTTTGAAGCAGCCGGCTGCGAAACATCGGCAAATTTGAAATTCTTAATGCCTTAATTGAATTT